TTAAATTATTATTTTTTTGTTTTATTTTTCAATATAGTCTGTGGTTAAGTTACTTGAGATTGAACGTGGCAAAAGTTTTAAAAGCACGCGCTATAGTATGTTATACAGTACAAATAATTTAACACTATTTTTATTACGATTTCATTGCAATAGTTGTTTACTTAGAATTTGACACTATGTTGCTACATATCCCTCTCTCTAATGGTTCACATTTAAGTCAGGAATATTTGTTCATCATCTGAAAACTGAGCCAGAATAGATTTTCACCTATTCTGACTGTGTGGTCGGTGCACAAGAACACCAAATTGCTGATACATTGTTCACCGCGTTTCGAGTACAGTAATAATAATAATAATAATAATATAATAATAATAATAATAAAACAACAACAAAACAAAAAAACAACACTAGCAACACTAGCAACACTGAAAACAGTCGACATTTCTTTTACATATTTTCGAAACAAATAGATTTTACAACAATTTACAATATCGTAAAATAAGCTAAACAAATTAAAGAACAATAAAATGGATGCTTTATATAAAAATATCATTAAAAATGTTTAAAATAGATAAACCAAAAATAAATAAAGTATATGCATATAGACATGACGTCTAACGTCATGTCAAAATACATGAAAGTATTTTTCCACCCAAGAAAGACTGTAGAATGATAACAAGAGCTAGGTCGAAAGCACAATTAACATCCCCGGACTCGTCGCTCCGCTCCGTCTTGCCGTCCACGGAAACCACAACAGAAGCTCCGGCCGTGGCTGAGGCGTCGAGCTCGACTTCAAGTGACGAGTTTTTCTCTCCGCCGACGTCGCCAACACCTGTACGTCGGCAGGGGAGAGGCCGGATCTGCTTAGGATCCCGAGGACCATTGACCTCGAATAGGGTCCCCGCTACCGGTGGTAATGTGCGCCGCATGAAGTGGACAAATTCTATCAATGAGAATGTCATGCGGGCATATTATCGGGCTGCAGAGATGGGAACAAACCTCACTGCGTACCGTGTTCGACTAGTCTCTTTGTTTCAGGAGCTTGAACCTGCTGTCAACGTATCAGCACAACGATTGTCGGATCAAGTACGAGCTATACAGCGCTGTCATCTGCTGGATGATGCAGTACTTGAGAGGATACGCTCTGACATACGGAATAGCTTGATTATCCCTTCTTCGTCACACACTGTGGATTTGGTAGCTAATAGCACACCTCAGTTTGTATCACATACCAATGATGTTGATGAATTAGTGGAGGGTGAAGTTATATCTGTAAGTACCCAATACAATGACAGGATAAGGAGCGCTTTGGAGGATGCGATTCTAGAGTACCGGTATGTGAATTGGAATAATAGACCCCGATTGTCCCGTTTGCCCATTCATAAACGAAATTTAGCGCTTGTGGGTGCCCTGGATTCGTTATTGCCTGATTATTTAGACAATAGCGAAGATCTTGGTGATACACATTCTATTCTGTATTGTGCGGCTGTTGCAGTTTGTCGAGTAGCTGGTGTTAATATAGTTGAAAATGTCACTACTACTCGACCTAAATCAACTGTACCAGCTTGGCAGTGTAGAATTGAACGTCGTATTGCTGAGACCAGGGTGCTTATTGGTAAGCTAATTAGTTTTCGATCAGGGAATACGCGGCCGAGAGTGATGCGCTTTGTGAAACAGGCATTCTTGGGGACTACCATTGGTCCTCAACAGTACATGTCATGTGTCACAGAGCGCATAGACTTTCTAAAGCAGAAAATTTATGCATGGGCAAATAGGATAAGACGGTACAAAAAACGAATAGATCGGTATAATCAGAAACGGATGTTCCAAAGAAATGAGAAGTGGGTGTACCGGAAATGGGAGGAACCGCATCCATGTGTGAGTCATGGGCATTTGCCAGATGAAAATGTCACACATACTTTTTGGCGGAACATCTGGTCGGTGCCTGTCACTCATATAGAAGGTGATTGGTTGCGGGATGTCAGACGCTCATGTGAGTCTATAACACCTATGGAACCAGTTATAATTGATAAAGATGATGTAAGCTGTGCAGTTCGTTCATTACCGAATTGGAAATCACCTGGTTTAGACGGACTGCACAACTTTTGGCTTAAGTGGTTCCGAAGCTCACATGCGTGTTTTGCATCTCAATTCCAGGCAGCTTTAAATTCGGGTTCATTACCCCAATTTTTAACCACTGGTATAACCCACTTACTCTATAAGTCTGGTAGTGTCATGGATCCCAAAAATTTTAGACCTATTACATGTTTACCAACCATGTACAAACTTCTTACATCTATTCTGAGACTCAAAATTACTTTACACATTAATAATAATTCGATTATGTCAGTTTCTCAGAATGGATGTTGAAGTGGGAGCCGTGGCACTAAAGACCTCCTTATTATAGACAGGGCCATTAGCCAACAGGTGCGTCGTAATCGTAAGAGTTTGGCGACATGTTGGATAGACTATAAGAAGGCTTATGACTCGGTTCCACATACATGGCTTTTGAGGGTGCTGGAGTTGTATAAAATTTTTTAAAGTCATGTATGGGGCAATGGAGAACAGCGCTTCGTTATCCAGGATGTCGGCAGACGACGGTAATTGATGCACCAATAAAGATCGAGCGGGGTATATTTCAAGGTGATAGTCTGAGTCCCTTGTGGTTTTGCCTGGCTTTGAACCCTCTTAGCACTTTATTAGAGGGTTCAGGGCTAGGCTATAGGTTGCAGAAAGACGATCAAGTTATATCTCACCTTCTTTATATGGATGATTTGAAACTACTGGCCCCCACCAAATTACAATTGTCAGCGTTACTGAAGGTGACGGAAAACTTTAGTAATTCTATCAAAATGGAATTTGGTGTAGACAAGTGTGCAGTCATGTATGTAAAGAAGGGTGAGATAGTAGAATCTGAAGGAATAGAGCTTTCAGATTCAACAAAACTCAGATCTCTGTCTGCCACTGAAACTTACAAGTATTTGGGTATATCACAGTCGTTAGGCATACCAGAATCTGACATAAAACAAACGTTGCAGGAACGCTTTTTTGGCCGTTTGAAAAAAGTACTTAAAAGTCTTTTATCGGGGGGCAACAAGGTGCGAGCCTGCAATGGTTGGGTCATGCCGATTCTGATGTACTCCTTTGGTATACTTAAATGGACTCAGACCGAACTAGATGCCCTTGATAGGAGAGTCCGTACATTGCTGACTGCATTTCGAATGCACCACCCACGTTCATCGGTTATGAGATTGTATATCCCGCGAAAGCTAGGGGGTCGCGGATTATTAAATATCAAGACCCTACACAATCGGGAGATATGCAATCTCAGAGAATATTTTCTACATACCGATGTGGGAATGCATCGCAATGTAGTTGCAGTGGATATCGGATTCACCCCGCTCGCTCTGGCTAAAGAGAATTGGCGCAAACCTGTAGTATTTAGTACTAATGATCGTAGGGAAGTATGGAAGGGCAAAGAGCTCCATGGCCGGTTTTATCGGGCCCTAAACGGGTCCGATATAGACTTTAAAGCATCTACGACTTGGCTACGGTATGGTGATCTCTTCGGAGAAACTGAAGGTTTTGTTTGTGCGATTATGGACGAAGTTATCATGACGAATAACTATCGGAAATATATCCTGAAAGATGGTACGGTTGACATCTGTCGGGCATGTCACCGTCCTGGGGAATCAATCAGGCATATCAGTTCTGGTTGTTCTCGTCTTGCTAACGGTGAATATTTGCATAGGCACAACCAAGTAGCCAGGATTGTACACCAACAGCTTGCTCTTAAATACCATCTTGTGAATCTAGAGGTGCCATACTACAGGTATGTGCCCGACCCAGTTCTCGAGAATGGTCGGGCCACGTTGTATTGGGATCGATCTATTATCACAGACAGGACTATTGTTGCTAATAAGCCTGATATTGTAGTGATAGATCGATTAGAGCGCCGCGCAATTATTGTTGATATCGCCGTTCCTCATGACGAGAATCTCGTGAAAGTTGAAAAAGAAAAACAAATAAAATATTTGGATTTATCTCACGAGATTGTCGATATGTGGAATGTCGATTCAGTGATAATTATTCCGATAGTCGTATCTGCTCACGGATTGATAGCCAAGAGCCTCGACCAACACCTTAAGAGGCTCACGTTGGACGGCTGGATCAAGGGTCTGATACAGAAGGCAGTCCTCCTTGACACGGCTCGTATAGTGAGGAGGTTCCTATCTTTGCAGTCCTAACCACTGGTGTCTTGGTACCTGTACCCGATGTCGGTGGTCTACTATTTTTTATATTTTTAAATGTATTTTTATTTCTTTTGTAATATATTTAAAAATGTAATTAATATGTATATATAATTTAATAAAGAGAATAATAATAATAATCGTCTAAAACTGTGTTCGGAGAAAGTCTGTCTCACTTAGTTCTCGTTACAAAATAATTCAAAAAGTGGTTTAAAGTCATCTATATGTGAAGTGTTTTACACTGAAAGACGTGTATTTGTGTAATAAACGTAACTGAATAAACGTGTCATTGAAAAGTGCTAGTATTGCTGAGTAATTCAATAACAAAGACCAAAAAAAATCCGTTTTTTATTCAAAAAGCCAGTGACTTGTGGACTCGCAAACAAAAGACGGGTATATCTAACAATAAATACAACACTGTGCGCTTGTTGGTCGTACTGATTGCTGGACGATTAAGGATGCCAATTCCATATTAGTAGCTAAGTGAATCGTTGGCCTGGTGGCATAACTTTACTGTTTTACTAGAGAAAGAAATTGAGTGGTGGCGAGATCAAACTTTCGCTGACTCGTGAATCGGTTTTTGAGAATTTAAATATTTATAAAAGTTGTATTATTGTATTCTTTGCAAATTGCTGTGAATACAGCGCCATCTGGTGGGTAAATATCAAATATTAACCACAATCCTATATGAGCACATTCTGAGTCAACTATACAGAACCTAACAGGCACTACTGCAAGGTAAATAATACGATGTCATCCACGAATAAATCAATAAATCAGCGCCCTACATCACTAGAGGGCAGCAGGAATGATAATACTCCAATTCGCTCAAGCGACAACAAAACTATTCGTCCTACTAAGAGGCCGGCGCTGTCATCTCCCTCTAGCAAAGAAGACGCCCCATTGACATACGAGGGGATTCGTATAATCATCGATGATGCATTGAAAAGTCATTTAAGTGAGCTGATAGATGAGTTCAGTGCAAAAATGCGGGCTATATTGGATATCGAACTTCGACAAGTAAAGGACGAGCTTCAAGACGTAAAACAAGCAATGCAATTTGTGAATGAACAGTTTGAAGACATTGAAAGGGAGCACAAAACAAGTCAGATCTGTATTAAAAACTTACAGGAGCAGAATACTTTTATGCTTTCAAATATTACTGATTTGAAATCACGAATGAACCAGCTTGAACAAGGCACTCGATCGAGAAACATAGAAATACAGTGTCTCCCTGAAAAAAAGTCAGAAAACCTAGTGTCCATAGTGAAGGAGCTAGGCAAAACTATTTCATGTGAAATCAAGGATGAAAATATCATGCGTATTACAAGGACAGCAAAAATTAATCCCGAGAACTCACGCCCAAGATCGATTATTGTAGAATTAAATAGCTCAAATAAGCGAGATCAGTTTTTGGTGGCATCAATAAACTACAATAGGGCCAATCCTACGAACAGGCTTAACAGCTCTCACGCTGGGTGCAGCGGTGCTAAGCTGCCAATTTATATCACGGAACACCTATCTCCATCAAACAAATCATTACATGCAGCAGCAAGACGAGTGGCAAAGGAAAAGGGATATAGGTTTGTCTGGATCAGAAATGGTCGTATTCTCGTTCGTAAAACGGAACAAGATAGGTATATTGTGATAAGGGACGCGAGTGTTTTGGATAATTTAAAGTAGAAACCTATTATACAACATTACGCATGAACCATGGATTACCGTTATAAAATTCAAACAACTAAAGGTATATTATCAGAATACTCGTGGCCTGCGAACCAAAACACATTTGTTTTTTCAGAATTTAACTACTAGCAACTATGATATCATTGTACTAACCGAAACTTGGCTAAACTCATCCGTCCTAAGCACTGAGCTATTCGACGATCGCTACGTTGTGTACAGACGTGATAGGGAGTCATCAGGTTTCCACCCAGGAAAAGAGGGTGGTGGAGTTCTGGTTGCTGTCTCGAGGCGCCTCAGGAGTAAGCGAATAAACGCTTGGGAAAGTACTTGTGAGGATGTCTGGGTTTTGATAAATGTACCACACTCCAAATTAATCAAACAGGTGGCAATTTGCGCTGTCTACCTGCCTCCTCCAGTACATACCGTAATGTTAAAACAATACATTCAAAGCTGTAATTCTATACTCGATAATTATAACGGCCACACTTGTATACTTGGTGATTTCAACCTTAATAATGTTAATTGGGGTATGGCTTCAGGAAACCAGTGTCCGGGCTTGGGTCAGCTTTTGTGTGATTTTTTACATGTAGCCAATTTTAACCAACTCAATCATGTCACAAATATTAGGCAAAAAATTCTTGATCTGGTTCTTTCAGATCTACCATACTGTACAGTGTCAGCAGCTCAGGACTCGCTTACTAAGATTGATCCCTTACATCCACCCCTTGAGGCTAATATATCGATCGTGGACAGTAAAGATCTTAATATAAATTCAAACAATAGAAAATTAAACTATTATAAGGCCGATTATGAGGCCATTCGGGGGGCTCTGTCAGGGATTGACTGGAATTCAGAGCTGGCGGAATGCACAAATGTCAATTCAATGGTGAGCATATTTTACGCTAAACTCAATGAAATAATCAACAAATATGTACCTCATAAAAAATCTGGCGAGCGACATTATCCACCATGGTTTAACAAATCCCTCACTCGCATGTTAAAAGAAAAGAACAACATACATTCTCGATTTAAGAAGTACGGGAATCCGATGGACAAATTAGAATTTAAATTATTAAGCAAAAGATGTTCTAAGTTTGCTAAAGTGTGCTACAACCAATACATTACCGATATAGAAAGCAAAATATCCAAAAATGCTAAAAACTTCTGGTCTTTCGTGAAGGCTAAAAGAGACGAAAAAAGTTTTTATCCTGGCTTAATGACTGATGGAATCTCGGTCAGTTCAGATGGCGATGGGATATGTAATCTATTTGCTTCAATGTTCTCGCAGGCCTACGATAGTGCGACTTCAGATGATAAATTCACGATGTCCAGTGGTCTAAGGTACACAGACAAATTTAGCTCAAGTTTTAGCTCCCTGGTTATAGACCGGATAACGATATTAAGAAAGTTGAAGTATCTGGATACAGCTAAAGGTGCAGGGCCAGATGGCATCCCGCCAATTTTCGTAAGAAATTGTGCATCTCAATTAACAACGCCATTGCACATCATTTTTACCACATCGATTTCTTCTGGAATATTTCCAGATGAGTGGAAATTTGCTAAAATCGTACCCCTTCATAAATCGGGTTGCAAGGACAACGTGAATAACTATCGACCAATTTCGATCATTTCCACGATGGCAAAGGTGTTTGAATCTATTGTTTGTCCTTGCATTCAAAACTATTTTAGTCCATACCTATCCAAACATCAACACGGATTTGTCAAGGCAAGATCTACTTCGACGAACTTGGTTACGTTTGTTGAACGCCTAGCTGAGGCAATTGACCATCACCAGCAGGTAGATGTTATTTATACAGACTTCAGCAGGGCGTTCGATAAAGTACCTCACACTATACTAATGAGGAAGCTATCTGTGTATGGATTTACTGGCAATCTTTGTGAATGGATTCATTCTTATCTCATTAATCGTTTTTCCTATGTAGTGGTGAATGGCTTTAGGTCAAAATCTTTTCCCACCTTTTCTGGTGTACCACAGGGATCGCATCTTGGACCCATCCTTTTTAACATTTTTATCAATGACCTACCCGGCTGCCTCTTGCACTCTGAACCATACATGTACGCTGATGATCTAAAAATCTCACGAACTATAAATAGTATTCACGACGTAGCTCTTTTACAACAGGACGTAGAACACATAAGCCAGTGGTGTAGCAACAACCAGATGCACCTCAATACTGGCAAATGTTACCACATTAAGTTCAGCCGCAAGCTGAAGCTTGTTGAATCTGAGTATTTTATAGAAGGTATACCAATACAAGAAGTTGATACAATAAAGGACTTGGGAATATTTTTTGATAGAAAGCTCACTTTTCAACCTCATTTGGACCATATCATTATGAAAGCATCCAAAATGCTGGGGTTTGTCATAAGAAATGCTAGGGTGTTCCGAAGGCCTCAAACTAAGATACTCTTATTCAACACTTTGGTTCGTAGTATACTCGAATACTGCCCCACCGTTTGGAGACCCCATTATTCCACTCATATTTTGAGGTTAGAAAGAATTCAGAAGCGTTTCATGTGGCATTTGGCATTCACCGTCGGAATCGCCAAAACTAGTAAGAGGTATGAAGAGAGACTGTCATTCTTCAAGGTACCGTCGCTTGAAAAGAGAAGAACACTTTTGGATCTGAATTTCTTTTACAAGTTGTTGCACAACCATCTGGATTGCTCAGTGCTGCTCGAAAGGTTGAAGTTTAACGCTCCCAGGCGTCTTCCGCGTAAACCAATGGCCATAATGGCACAGCCATTTAGAAGCACAGTTTTGGGATATAATTCACCAGTTCCCAGAATGTGCAGAGCTCTAAATGAATATTGCACGGACTCAATTGACGTTTTTGAGATCAAATATCATAAATATCGCAGAGTATTGTGTGAAAACTTACCCAATTAGCCACCAACCCAATTAATGCCTCCTAATGCTCTAAATATTTCTTGTTTGTTTTTTTTTTCTCTCATTACATTTTTAACTTACAGCTTACATTCTATTGAACACTGATTTAATTATTATTTTTATTGTTTTTAATTTTATTATTATAACTCGATTTGATGTATTGTAGTGTGTTGATACTTTGGAATTTTGATTGAATTTGTAAATAATCAACATAATTGTGAATATAATAATAATTATCATTGTAACTGAACTATATAATTACTTAATATTATGTAATTTTAGAGATGATATTATTGTGCATGTTGTATTCATCTGTTATTAGTTATGCAATTAGTTTTAAGCGAATAATTTTGTATCCCCTGTAATGAATTATTGTATATAACTGTTGGTGAATTAAATAAATAAAAAATAAAAAAAAATAAAAAAAAATAATATGTCACTCATATAGAAGGTGATTGGTGGCAGGATGTCAGACGCTCATGTGAGTCAATAACACCTATGGAACCTGTTAAAATTGATAAAGATGATGTAAGTTGTGCAGTTCGTTTATTACCGAATTGGAAATCACCTGGTCCAGACGGACTGCACAACTTTTGGCTTAAGTGGTTCCGAAGCTCACATGCGCGTTTGGCATCTCAATTCCAGGCAGCTTTGGATTCGGGTTCATTACCCCAATTTTTAACCACTGGCATAACCCACTTACTCTATAAGTCTGGTAGTGTCATGGATCCCAAAAATTTTAGACCTATTACATGTTTACCTACCATGTATAAACTTCTAACATCTATTCTGAGACTCAAAATTACTTTACATATTAATAATAATTCGATTATGTCAGTTTCTCAGAATGGATGTAGAAGTGGGACCCGTGGCACTAAAGACCTCCTTATCATAGACATGACCATTAGCCAACAGGTACGTCGTAATCGTAAGAGTTTGGCGACGTGTTGGATAGATTATAAGAAGGCTTATGACTCGGTTCCACACACATGGCTTTTGAAGGTGCTGGAGTTGTATAAAATTGATACAACTCTGTGCACTTTCTTGAAGTCATGTATGGGGCAATGGAGAACAGCACTTCGCTATCCAGGATGTCGGCAGACGGCGATACAAGATGTACTAATAAAGATCGAGCGGGGTATATTTCAAGGTGATAGTCTGAGTCCCTTGTGGTTTTGTCTGGCTTTGAACCCTCTTAGCACTTTATTAGAGGGTTCAGGGTTAGGCTATAGGTTGCAGAAAGATGATAAAGTTATATCTCACCTTCTTTATATGGATGATTTGAAACTGTTAGCCTCCAACAAATTACAATTGACAAAGTTACTAAAGGTGACGGAAAACTTTAGTAATTCTATCAAAATGGAATTTGGTGTAGACAAGTGTGCAGTCATGTATGTAAAGAAGGGTGTGATAGTTGAATCTGAAGGAATAGAGCTTTCAGATTCAACAAAACTCAGATCTCTGTCTGCCACTGAAACTTACAAGTATCTGGGTATATCACAGTCGTTGGGAATACCAGAATCTAACATGAAACAAACATTGCAGGAACGCTTTTTTGGCCGCTTGAAAAAAGCACTTAAAAGTCTTTTATCAGGGGGCAACAAGGTGCGAGCCTTCAATGGTTGGGTCATGCCGGTTCTGATGTATTCCTTTGGTATACTTAGATGGACTCAGACCGAATTAGATGCCCTTGACAGGAAAGTCCGTACACTGCTGACTGCATCCCGAATGCACCACCCACGTTCATCAGTTATGAGATTGTATATCCCGCGAAAGCTTTGGGGGTCGCGGACTATTAAATATCAAGACCCTACATAATCGCGAGATATGCAATCTCAGAGAATATTTTCTACATACCGACGTGGGAGTGCATCGCAATGTAGTTGCAGTGGATACCGGCTTCACCCCGCTCGCTCTGGCTAAAGAGAATTGGCGCAGACCTGTAGTACTTAGTGTTAATGATCGCAGGGAAGTATGGAAGGGCAAAGAGCTCCATGGTCGGTTTTATCGGGCCCTAAACGGGTCCGATATAGATTTAAAAGCATCTACGACTTGGCTACGGTATGGTGACCTCTTCGGAGAAACTGAAGGTTTTGTTTGTGCGATTATGGACGAAGTTATCATGACGAATAACTATCGGAAATATATCCTGAAAGATGGTACGGTTGACATCTGTCGGGCATGCCACCGTCCTGGCGAATCAATCAGGCATATTATTTCTGGTTGTTCTCGTCTTGCTAATGGAGAATATTTGCACAGGCACAACCAAGTAGCCAGGATCGTACACCAACAGCTTGCCCTTAAATACCATCTTGTGAATCTAGAGGTGCCATACTATAGGTATGTGCCCGACCCAGTTCTCGAGAATGGTCGGGCCACGTTGTATTGGGATCGATCTATTATCACAGACAGGACTATTGCTGCTAATAAGCCTGATATTGTGCTGATAGATCGATTAGAGCGCCGCGCAATGATTGTTGATATCGCCGTTCCTCATGACGAGAATCTCGTGAAAGTTGAAAAAGAAAAACAAATTAAATATTTGGATTTATCTCACGAGATTGTCGATATGTGGAATGTTGATTCAGTGATCATTGTTCCGATAGTCGTATCTGCTCACGGATTGATAGCCAAGAGCCTCGACCAACACCTTAAGAGGCTCACGTTGGACGGCTGGATCAAGGGTCTGATGCAGAAGGCAGTCCTCCTTGACACGGCTCGTATAGTGAGGAGGTTCCTATCTTTGGAGTCCTAACCACCGGTGTCTTGGTCCCTGTACCCGATGTCAGTGGTCTACTATTTTTTATATTTTTAAATGTATTTTGTTATAATTTTTTATAAAATGTATGTTTAAAAATGTAAATAATATGTATATAAAGTAAATAAAGAGAATAATAATAATAATATATATAAAGGGTGTAAAAACCGGTATGCTTGTCGTTTCCGAATACAGCAAAATTATTTCAATGAACAATTTAGGTAGCTATTAAAAGGAAATTGATTTTTAAATTTTATACCCCTCATCTTTTTGGGTGTCACTCGGTATGGTGCTAGGCAGCTAGGTAAATAATTAGCTACTTGTATGGAAAAAATACTGTTACGTCTAGGATCACAAATCTATTTAAGACTAAGAGTTCCAATATTACTTGTAAGTTCATTTAAAAAGAATGTACATAACCACCTTCTTGAGCTGGCGGAATTACTTACTCAATAGTAGACCTCCATATTTACAGTGTACGAATATAAAGTATATGTATTTTATGTGTATTTGTATCTATAAATGTATATGTGTGTATGTGTGTAATTGTACATATTAGTTATAACTACTATAGCAACTGCAACCTCAGTGCCTTACCAGCTTTCTACACTCCCCAAAGGTTGGCTGGTAGAGAATGCCTTGGGCATTAAACCCGCCGTTATACACAAGTGCATAAAGTTGTAAATAAATGAATAAATTAGCAATCCTCGTAAGTCGTCCTTGCACTGAGTCGAAGACAATTAACTTCGACTCTGGTTATAGAGTCAATTCCGCCCACGCCCGCCGGCGACAAGCGCGGCGCCTTTGTCGCAAAAAACAGCAGAACGCTCAAAATATACTAAAACGGGCTTACAAGCAGTGGTCGGACGTCCTGGGACAATCAAGAGCACCCGTTCGCACAGCTGGTCGAGGAAGCGGTGAGTGCGGCCCAAAGCCACAGTTTTTTATGGGTTTCTTGTGATAATTTCATATCCCTGAGCTATCAGACACAACACTGGGAATCCTGCTCATAGGCGACAGCAATACTAATACGGCTTTAAATACTTACGTAAGCCGGGGAGGGGGATTGAACCCACGAACTCTAGATCATAAGGCAGGATCACCAGTCACTGCCCCAGCAGTTCATAATATTTTTTTATATTTGTATCATCTTTTCTGTACTGGAGGACAGGTTTAACCGTGTCGTAATTATGGTTGTGGGTTTTCCAAAGTAGGAACGACGCAGGTAAACTAATAACAGATTTGATTATCAGATGTTGTCGAGACCAAGCTCACGACTCGAGCACTTATTACCCACAGTTATTGATGTTTATGTGAACAAGAAACAAAATATTTAAAGAATACGTGACTATTTTATGTACGAGTACTGCGTCCTAATCGTTTTAAGTTGGTTCAGTAAAGTCGGATATACGCACGTTTTTCTTGAGAACTTTTTTGTGATCAACATCAACAGCCTTTAATAGTCCACTCCTGGACATACGCCTCTCCTTAGAAAGTTTTGGCTTACTATACCACGCAGGCCAGACGGTGTGGTATAGAGTTTTCCTTCTCTTTGTGGAGTTTTTGTCCTGCGTGGTTTGCTCCGATTGTCGGCTCCTAAAACATCCACGTGATCAATAGGCGTGGTGACACTCCGTATTCTTCACCCGCCACCACACAGATAACTTTTCTGTAAAAATAAATAAAATTGAAGTGTATGTTTATAATGTCAGAATAATAGGTTTTTTCATGTTCACAAGGTTATTTGCACGATACGTATGCCTTAAAACTAGTTTTTTTAGCCGGTCTGTATGTTCGGGTAATCTTCTAAACGGCTGTACCGATTTTGATCATATTTTGCTACCAGGTAGCTGTCTATATAAGAAGTAACTTAGACTATTTTTCCTCTCAGAAAAACTCTATAAAATTTTGCTAGTCCGGGAATCGAACCCACTAAGGCAGCGCTTTTCAAATTTCACGTGAACGAATTTCTCGGTACTCGGTAGTTTAGATCTAAACTTGTAAGATAAACGAATCTTACTTGTAAGTTATCTCCCCAAAATCTACTGAAATTGGTACATGGTAGAGATTTCTTGCATTTTATATTGTAAGCATAGGACATATTAAATACTACCTTTTACTTGCAGCTGCATTCGTTTTATTTATTTGTTTAAAATTTAATGCACATGTTGTACAAAGGCGGACTTAATGCCATGGGGCATTCTCTCCCAGTCAACCATCAGGTGATGTACAAATATAATGACTGCACGGATGGCGTAGTGGTTTAAGCGGTCACACACACGGGCCCACATGGAACAACACAAATTGTCTGGTGTGTATGATCCATAAATTGTCGTTTTGAGTCTGGGTGTTCTTAATGTACGTGCCATGTATGTTTGTAAAGTCCCCCACGACACAGTACATGTTTCTAGCGCAGGAGATGTCTTTAAAAAAATAATAAGTTGTCGATTATGCCAATTAATTTTTCTTCAATACAAAGTGCTATTCCAGGCTATGGTCTATCTCTGTTTCAAATGTCATCTAAAATCGTTCAGTCATTCTGTCGAGTTTCAGATACAAATATTTGTATTTGTTTGTATTATTATAAAAAAAGACGACTCAATTGCAGGAATACTCGTATACGAGTATAAGTCACGATGAGTTTTTATAAAACAATGCATTAAAACAATCACGTTCTTCCGAGTAGGATATAGGTAGATTCCTATATAGATTTGCAGTGCAGATGACTGCACGGATAGCGTAGTGGTTTAAACGGTCACCTCGCCGCTTTCTACTGCGCTGAGTGTTGTTGGTTCGATCCCCACATAGGACGACACTGTGTGATCCACAAATTGTTGTTCTGAGTCTGGGTGTTCTTTTTGTCCGTTTCATGTATGTTTGTAAACTACACAGGATATATTCCTACTGTTGTGTTGTCTTTTAAAAACAAGAAATAAAAATAAGATATCTAGATATCTACTGAGCGGGTTATAAACAAGTATCAAATTAGCTGAGAGCAAGCGGTTACCAATATATTATCATCCTTAAGATAAAACATCTCGTGTTGCGAAAATGTGGTGTTTGAAAAAACTTTTCCTAATGTGCAAGTTTTAATTGTAAGGCTAATAATAAGATTCTCACTACATCAATTTGTGATGAATTTCATACTATTGAAATAAAATCGATTCTCGAATTAATCGAGCGTTGCGAGATTGCTTTTTGATTAATCGATTTGATAACACTGCGCTACCAAGTCATATGATTGGATGCAGAATCGACATAATTTGCGTTTTCGAACATTCCAATAGCATTTAATGATGAATCTCAATATTTGTGTGGAACTTAATTCATAGACATTTTATTTTGGATTGTTCTAGAGATTTCATCATTTGTAATTATTAATTTGTGACTTTAAAAAAGTCTATCCAAAAGGACCTTGGACATTGATGCGTCAGTTTTCTGATCTGTTTATATTTAATGATATTGATGGTTAACAAATAGATGAATCGCCTGGTGGTAAGCGGCTACCGCCATCCATGGACTCCTATTACCGCAATTCAAGAGTAACAAGTGTGTTGCGGCCCTTTGATCTTCAAGGGGCTTCAGAAATAGGAGGAAGGGGTTTTTGGGTCTGATAACCTCTTGCTTAACACCGGTTTTCTGTGTATCACTCCGGTCCAGCATGGTTTTCCCACAAGTAACACAAAACTATTACTCATTTTTATTCATGTATAGGGTCATGGGACATATTCACAGTGAACTGTGGTTTATCATTCGAGTTTTGCGTAGATGGGTTAGGGTTGCTAGGTAGGCGGGTTAGACGCTATTTAACAGTAAATTTAGTATTATTTTAAGTTATTATTTAGGGAATGGTAGTTATATATAATAAAATAATTACTAGATTTACCTACTGTTAAATGAGCGAAATAGGGTCTTTAAGCATCGTCAGAGAACAGCTTATTGGCAAAAACGCGTGAGTAAGTAGTAACCCTTTTTTTTTCCGTGCGGAAATTCCCAACGGATACCACCTATCGGTGGCATGTCGGACTCGAACCGACTAAAACCGCACGCCGTCTCGGGTACTAATAGCCAGGGACCCAGGTATACCCTAGAAAGGAAGTCCCTGGTGCCCAGTAAGTAGTAACCATAACCTACGTACAAAAAATCGAACGATAAATCACCATTCATTCACAGTTCACTGTGATTTTGGCCCATCTATTCATAGTATAAACTATAGTTTGTATAAATAGAAAAAACTATGTGCAATATGTCCCAGTGTGTTTATTTTCTTTATTAAACTGCTACCCGGGGTTTTCCTGTAGCTTATAGAAGGTGTAACGATACAGAATCGTCTCGGGCCTTTCAGATATTGCCTGATAAATCCGACGGCCGTATGGGGAGGTCGTGGAGATAAACTAAAACCATTTGTCTTAGCCGAGGCTTACGTTTTCAGTCTGATGTTTTGAGAGGAAACCGGTCATGGCACATCTAATTTGGTGAGTGTGAAATTGCAAACATTATGTGTGTTGTAAGTTTAGAAACTTTTATCATTGAACGACTACACGGATGGCGTAGTGGTTTAAGCGGTCGCCACGCCGCTTACTACTACGCTGAGTGTTGTGGGTTCGATCCCCACATGGAACGACACTTTGTGTGATATACAAATAGTTGTTCTGAGTCTGGGTGTTCTTTGTGTCCGTTTCATGTATGTTTGTAAAGTTTCCCGTGACACAGGATATAGTGGAGTTATGGGAGTTATCTTTAAAAAAAATACTCACTTTTTCACCTCATTTAAAGCAGTGAAAACTCATATAATGTAAGTTGTATTTGTAACTTAGTCTGTTTATTTGTTAAATTCTTCTTTAAATTCGCATCCATTATCAATAAGTTCTGCAAATACTTGTATTTCACCAGGGGTACAGAAAGGATGACCTCCGTCTTATGGAGGCGCAGGCCTGGAAGTGCTGGGCAGATCATCTGTTACCCTATCAGAAACGGGTCATGATGGCGGCGCGACGCGCTCTGGAGCACGCGCCCTAATCCCAGTCGATATAGAAGGAAGAGGACACCGTGGTCCTTCCATACGAGTGGGCCAAGAGTAAGCCGTAGATAGCCCGGGGTCCGTCTTTGTACCAGGGATTTCGTTTCTAGGTTACACCTGGTTCCCCGGCTACTGGTACCCAGGCGGCGGTGGCGTATAGTTTTTAGTTGGTTTTGAGTCCGAAATGTATCGATATGACACATGATCGGAAAAAAAGGGATACAGAAAAGATCATGTGTAATGTTTATCCAGGACAAAGTCCCTCGGGCACGCCGTCATCGCGGCGGTAAGACCCGTTATGGAGGATTGGCTCGAGAGGCGTCACGGGACCCTCTCATTCCGATTGACGCAGGTGATCACTGGGAAGGGATGTTTCGGGGATCACCTGTGTCTGATCCGCAAGGAGCCAACGCCCGAGTGCCACCACTGCGATGGCTAGACCGTGGACACGGCTCTCCACACGCTGGCAGAGTGCCCGGCGTGGGTTGAACAGAGGCGAGACCTCGTAGCGGCCATCGGAGTGGGAGTTCTCTCGCTCGATAGCCTGATTGCAAAGCGCGCTCGCTTCCAGGGAGCACAGGGAACATGGGGTTCCCACACGGGGGGGGGGTCGTCTACTCGTCTGTAGATGACCCGAGGTATGTCGGGGCACCAGGGACTTCCTTTCTAGGGTATACCTGGTTCCCCGGCTATTAGTACCCGGCGACGACGTGCGGTTTTAGTCGGTTCGAGTCCGACATGCCACCGACAGGTGGTATCCGAGGGGATATCCGCACGGAAAAAAAAAAAAAAAAAAGGACAAAGTCCCTGCTATTCTTGGGGGATAATAAACAACTTCGAATCGAGTGAACCCGTGAGTGTAAGTTAGTATATTTATATAATTGTAATAATAATAATGACT